GGAGGTATCCAATGAAAATCCATCTTGTATGGATGATTACAGAAACATAGAGAACTGTATGTAGTATAACCTATACAAACTGAAACACAACTAATTTTATACAAACTTGGAAGTAACACTGAAGAAAAACCATTATAATACACTGCAGGCATGTAAAACATAACAATATTTGTAAAAATTAAACACTGCGTTTGTGAAATGGTGTTAAATAAAGAGATGACATATAATTTATGTGATAACAGTGCCACAGTGTTTTCCAACTGAGTAATTAGAGAATTTGTGTCTGTTTCTAGGGCAGACTTTGCCAAACTCCTAACAAACATTTTTATATATCTCTTCATAGTTCTTTTCTAATTTTTACAACCTATGGCGGAGGGGGCAGACAATTCCTTAAGGCATTTCTCCTATTCAGTGGAGAGTTACTGCAAATTTTAGTTCCTACAATCTACTAATGAGTGAAAGGGAAAGACAGAGATGAAAGACAAAAATGAATCTTTCAACAGAGTAACTGGGAAAACGAGAAATCCATGTTAATTCCATAGAGTTCAGATCCATCAGTGAAGTGTCCATGAGGAAATGCAGATTGGCATCCCCCTTGCTATCATCATACCATGCTTCTTAAAAGAGAAGGAATTTCAAAAATGAGCAAAGGCAATAATTATGATAGCCTGTTCTAATAGCTATTTTAGCTTAGAAAATGTAAGTTATTGATTCAGTAATAGGGATAGATCCCCACTCCCCCCCCCAAAAAAAAGTGAAAGAATTACTGAAAATATATTTGTAGGGATGTTTGACATATAATCTTAGGGCACTTTCTGGAAGTAGAGAAAAAGCTCTGGGAAAAATTAATAATCCACAAAATTAGAGTATACTTCCAGACAAAGTTGAAGAAATAAATGTATGAGATTGTATAGGAAATAACAGTTTCAAACTGTTTTCTAAACATTGTCCCCTTTATGCTGACTTTGCAAATGGAGTTTAATTTCTCCACCAGATCATACTCTGGCAATAAAAGCCTATGTTAAGAAAAAAGGAATTAAATGATATTGTAGGGTTCATAAGCTGACAGTTTTACATTTTATTTAAAAATTGAGATCTCAGCAAAAAAAAAAAAAAACGGCAGATATAGTTCAGAACTATGCACAATTAGTAACAGTTCTTCAAAATCTCAAAATTTATTACCACTAATCACGATTATCTTAACTTTCCACTTAACTGTTGGCACATTTCAAAATATTCAATGAGGAAAAAAACACTTCCAAATGGAAGTTAATCACAAAAAGAGGTATAACAATCCCAAGTTGCAGGATGATAAAGTACTCAATGTTACTGAAGGCTATTTTTACTCATTTCTAACTCCAAAAATATCTTGTTCTCTTTACCCAGATGCTTATCATTTTTTTAAATGGGGAAAAAAAAACTTAGAGCAGTGTTTCACTGTAAGCAGTTTTTTATACATGTGGATGCCCTATATAAATGTAGATTCCAACACTCCATCCCCAGAAATTCCTAGTCTGTAGTCCGGAATGAACCCAGATATCTGGAATTTTAACATGCAATTTAAATAATGACCTTAGGAATAGTAAGCCATCTCTCTTCTGTACATGATGCCAGTTAAATCTAGACATTAACTAAATTACCTGAGCCAATTACTAGCAGAGAAAGCATGAAAATCTAGAACTGCTACTTCTGTCCAATTGTCTTCACTCTAAACGAACTTTGCAGCTTTCTTTTAAATAACTCTTCAACATATGCTACCTTTCTACCTTTTTCCATTATCCGTTTACTCTCTCTGGGGTAACCTCCAAAGTACATTTGTAAAATTTTGTATACATAGAGGCTAGAAGAATGAAAACTGTTCTAAATATGTTAGGATAGTGTAGGTAAAATTTCCTTATTTTTTATTCTATCACACTATAAGTTATGTGGACAATAACTCACTATTTTAAATTTTTTAAAACTGAAAATAATTTGGCTTTGATGCATGGCACTCAATTAGATCCAATGCAAATTTAGGTAAGGAAGTTCAAAACTAACACCTCACTTCTTTTTTAAGTTTTAAATTTTTACTATAGAAGTATAATTGACACATTATATTAGCTTCAGATGTAACACCTCTTACATATTTTTATGATAAGTATTTTTTTCATATTATAAAAAAACACAAGGTTACTTAATGTGTTAATATATAAAACTTCTAGAAGTTGCATTGAACAATTATGTGTTGGTGCTTTTCCTGAATGCAAGCTTAAGGCCCCCTGCATTCAGGAGAAAGACTCCCCATTTAGCACATTATCCAAGTCCTTCACACAATCTGCTCAACCACGTGAAGAAACCAATGAGCAACTTTCCTCTGGCAAAAAAGGCATACACCAGGATGTAAACACAGAACTGGAATGGTTAAGTTGGGGTCTAAACACAGAAGGTCTTCCTTAATTTATCCAACCAGTCTTAAGCCAACTAGTTCTTTAAGACTTGATTCAAGATCAAGTCCCTGAAGACCTGGCTCCATACAAAATGATGCAAGTTTTCAAAAATAACACATACACAGGCAATAGTTTGTGCTTTTTTGCATTTTTTTTAATTTTTATTTATTTATGATAGTCACACAGAGAGAGCGAGAGAGGCAGAGACACAGGCAGAGGGAGAAGCAGGCTCCATGCACCGGGAGCCCGACGTGGGATTCGATCCCGGGTCTCCAGGATCGCGCCCTGGGCCAAAGGCAGGCGCTAAACCGCTGCGCCACCCAGGGATCCCCAGTTTGTGCTTTTTTAAGGGTGTATGTGTTAATATACATGTTAATGAATAGAAAAAGATCTGAAATATACATGCACTGAAAATAGGCATCTCGAGAGAGAGAGATGAGGACGGGTCCAGCATTAAAATGCTTTAATTTTTAAGGAGAATGTATTCATTACTTGTGTATGTAGAAATGTTTCTAATCTCTAGGCTTCATTGGTTGCCCTTTTTTGCACTTCTCTGCAACTCTTGCACAGGCCTAATAAAGCACTTGGCTCACAATCTGTCATAAACATGTCGTATTGGACTTTTCCTCCTAGAAGACAGTACTTGTGTTCTGCTCAGCTAGCACAGCACTTACAGAGTGCCTCACCTGTAGAGTGTGTATTATTCAATGCACACTCACACTCTGAGCCTCCTAAGCAACTAAGTTATCCAAGGAAAGAAGCTTAGTCTGTTTCTAAAGGTTACAGGCCAGAAATTTTCAACATACACTTTAAAAAGACAGTCTGGTACAGTTGCTAAGATGCTAGACTTAGAGTCATAAAGTTCTGGTTTTGTTACGCATGATGATCTATAATCCTGACTCAATCTTCATTTTCCTCATCTATAGAACATAGAGGAGAATATCTTTCTCCTACATTTGTGGGTAAGATTAAAAGGAAATGTTTATATTTATAAGTTAATTAGCACAATACCTGGTACTCACCAGATGGTAGTCATTCTCATGCTTCTTATGTTTAACTAATATTAAAGCAATAATTTCATACAATTTCTAATCAGAGAATATTAATAAAACTTTAAAAAACATCTACTTTGGGAGAATAACATAAACTCAGACAACCTAGCTAATGGAAGTGATGAAACTAATAACCTGAAGTCCATCAAATCTGTGAAAGTAAAAAAAATGAATTCCTCAATTAATCTGGCAAACTTCCATACCAATAAATGCAAATTATGCATTTTTAAACTCCATTCCAATGAGAAAAGTTTTAATCATCTCACAGACTGAAAATGTTCATATTCAGTTCATACACATTATAAGCTGTACATCACTATTCTTCTTGAAGAATATGCTAACTATCCAAGTTATTAATATGCCAACAGTGCTCAATGATGCCTTCCACAGTTAATTGGCTAAGAAATCTTATCCAAAAAAATATAATGAGTAAGATCACACTGAAGTTCAGAAGATATCTTAAAGGCCTATAGTTAAATTTTGTTGAAACTGTTTGTTTTTATTTGACATCTGTATTTTTTTGTTATAAAAACAGCATTTATATCCCAGCCTATCATAACCCATTGTTATATATCATTAATGAGTTCATCTCATCAGGTATCCAAAGCACACCGTGCAATTCCATAAATTACTAAGCATCTAACATATTCTAGGTTAAAAGATTAAGAATTCATTTCCAAAAAGGGGTATTTTCTTATACATATTAAAAACCAGATGTTTTAGGGGCACCTGAATGGCTCAGTGGGCTCAGGTCATGATCTTAGGGTCCTGAGATCAAGCCCCACATTTCTGTCCTACTCCCTGCTTAGTAGGGAGTCTGCTTCTCCTTCTCCCTCTGCCCGCTCCCCACCCCCACTCCTGCTCTCTCTCAAATAAATAAAAATAAAAACCAGATATATTAGAGAAAAGGAAGTGTACAGAATCAGAGTTAACGGAATTAACAGTTAACAGTCTTTCTCTATATTTACCAAATTCAATAGTTCAACAACTCAAGTCAACTTCATTTATATGTGTGGGGTGTGTGCGTGTATGTGCATATATGAACCACTAGCCTACAGTAAATTATTTCCTCTACAAGCAACATATCTGCTCAAAAAAAATGCTGGAAACTCAAGAAAACATGTTACCTGTGCCTACTCTTACAATTTTATATTACAAAAGAAACACAATAGGTGAAGAGCTGGGCCTATTTCGTCAACAGCTATAAAGGTTAACTGGTTCTGTTACCTCATGAAGTTTTATAACATTACTCCTGCTACAGAATATCCTTCAAAAAATCATTTTCAATGATTTTGTCTTCAGTCCCTCAAAAAAGGTGCTGTCTAGCCTCAAATTTGATGTAGCTTATTTTCCTGCCACAGAAGAAACTGAGAAAATTCAACAACACAACTCTTTGTTATATTTAGTGCAGTACTCAAGGCAAAAGCAAGACGCTATAAGTAAACCACTAATAAGTCTAACAAAGCACATTTGTGAACGTAATCAAGGAATCGCAATTTGCAATTACTGTAACACAGCTCACCTGTTCATTTTTGCAAAGCCACACGCTGTTTCCACTTAACACAGTAAAAATTTTGGCTTTATACCCTCTCAATTCAAGATATCCACATTTCTCAGGTGCAGGGGCTGCTTGAGACTGCGAGGCAGGGGATTGTGATTTCAGTGCATTTAATAGTATGCTGATCCAGTCATTTCTCTCCTCTGAAAATGATGACAGGAGAAAATATATATCCATACTCATATAAATTATACAGACACAGAAATATAGGCAAAGGATCTATTCTCTCTGTAACACATAATTTACAGATTCTTTCCCACAACCACAATCTAAATGCTATTGCAGTCAGAGCCAATGGCCCAATTCTGTAAGAGAAAAGAAATAGTACTACACAGGTGTTCTGTAACCAGTACTACTGGCCTCATCTGGGAGCTTATTAGAATGCAAAATCTCAGGCCCCTCTCCAGACCCAATGAATCAAAATCTTCAGTTTAAAAAGATCCCCAGGTAATCTGAATGCATGCTAATATTTAAGAAGTACTCTTACCAGATATTCATGAGATTGGATTTTCTCTTTTAATAGAAGTAATACTGAGATCAGTTAACATATTTTACCAGGTAATTAAGTTACTCAAATGCCCAGAAAATCTTAATTCTGTTACTTAGAGCCTACTCAGGAGTATGCTGACTTGATATTCACTCATCCATTCTAGTCTCATCACAGTAACAATAGTATCTCATTTGGTAAATTAAAATTTGGTTTTCTCCCTCCACAAAAGCTAAAGTGACCTTCAACTATGGATAACACACTGTATTACAGGCACAGGAATCTGATCTATTCCCCAAAGAGCAAAGTTGTAAGTCAAGTTAGATATGAACATAGAACACAGAATACTATAAATGTCATATAAATGACATGAAATAAAATATGAGTCAATTCAATGGAGGTAAGTGATTTGCTGAAGGCCATACAGCAAGTTAGTGAAATTAGGAGAATCAAATGTTTTAACTCAGACAACTGTTCTCAGCACTATGGGAAGAAAAAGTATTTGCGCTAGGTCTTGGAATGAGGAGCCTTTGAAAAGACAAAACTGGGGTCTGGTGAGGGAAGAGTAGAACTTTATTGACTCTAAACAGAGGAGAATATAAGAACAAAGGTAGAAAAAAAACAATATCTGCTCAGAGACTTATAGATGGACATAATTGATAATTTTGAACTCAAGAGGAAAATAGGAAATATGGATAGAGTTTCTGCAGTACCTGTAAGGAATTTTGCCTCCAAACTTTATTACAGAGGCAAAAAGAAAAAAAAAAAAAAAAAAGAAAGAAAGAAAGGGAGAGAGAGGAAGGGAGGAAGGGCGGAAAGAGAAAAGGTCAACATTCTTAGCAAGGAAATGACATGATTAGTATGATGATAGGTAGACCAAACCGGAAGCTTTGAGATAAGGAATAAGGCAAGAGACGTTTGAAGTACGATAAAAATGGAAACAAAATAATACTTGAAGGGTCAAGACATTAAAGGATGGGAAAAAATAGCTAAGTTTTAAGTATGTTTGACAGGTATTCACAAAATATTTAAATTATCAAAATACAATGCAGCTTAGTACCATGACTTGACCAAAGAAGGCAGAAGATTCCACTTTATTAAGAGAACCACCTCCGGTTTTCAGTGCCCTAGCATGCCACCTAAATGGACTAACAGCGAAGTGTGAATGAAGGTAACCTACATAAAATAAGATCCATGGAAGTAGATAAATGTTTAATGTGAAAGGAGAAGAAATGGACAAATCCTGAGGTACAACTGTATCCATGAAGCAGGAAAATGGGCTAGCAAAAAAAAAAAAAAAAAAAAAAAAAAAGGAAGAAGTGATTATCAAGGCAAAAGGAAAAATAACCAAAACCCAGATAAGAAAAATTATCAAAAAAAGCAGAGCCCAAGCTTGAAAAATTGGACAGTATCTCAGATCTAAGGTCTGGAAAGGAGTACTCCATTATGGAGTAAAATAAATCTTCAGACTAGACTTGCTCCCTCCCATTCAAACATGAAACCTAAGCTATTTTATAATGAGCCTTATTAAATTATCTTTATTTTTTTGTTCACCTTCCAAGCTACTGAAACAGTTTCGTCTTTAATGACCAAGGCCAAAGTATTTATCAAAACTCATTCAACAATGCTTTACTGCGGATATTACATAATCCCCATGATAGAGTGCCCATTCATCAGGTGGAGATATATACCTAACTTGCCCAGCATCTTTAGAAACTAAAACACATGAAAATGTTTAGGTAACTAAGTCAATGTCAATATGCAGCATCTGCTCTACATTCTAGAGCCACACGAACAGATCCAGACTGCACTAGGAGAATTTATATTTTCGGGAATAACAAGAAACCTTCCATTGGTTATTACTTGTGATCATCAGTTTCACACAAGATACTCCTGCCAATAAAACAGTACAGAATGGTTTTTGTTTTGTATTAATCTACATAAAGCATTTAGTTTGAAATGTAGGTCATGTGTTTTTTTTTTTTAATTGAAGAGAAACCAAGCTCAGTTTTCTTTTTTTTAATTCTTTCAATTTTTTATTGAAATGTAGTTAACATATAGTGTTGTGTTAGTTTCAGGAGCACAACATGATTCACTACTTCCTGGGGTTAGTCAGTGCTCTCCAGATAAGGGCACTCTTAACCTCCTTTATCTATTTCATTTACACCCTCCCACACCTCCCTTCTGGTAACCACCAGCTAGTTCTCAGTACTTAAGAGCCTGTTTTTCTGTTTTTCTTTCTTTCTTCATTTTGTTTTGTTTCTTAAATTCCACATGAGTGAAATCATATGGTATTTATCCTTTTTGACTTGTTTCACTTTGTAGGTCATAACTTTATAAGTAGGCCAAACTGTTTGTGGCTTCTACGTTGCTATTAGCATACATCTCAGTTTCTCAGGAAAATAGTTTGAAACTAGCAATTGCATCTGTTGGACTTAAACATATGATGGCTGCATCTAACAAATGGTTCTCTTATAGCCTAGAAGTATTATCTAGCTCCTTAGTGCCTCACTTACTAATAGGAAGTAAACAGTCATGAATAAGTACAAGTATTAATATAAGTATTAATAGTAACATTCAGTTTATTCTTAATTACCAATGCTAATGGAGATAAACAGTGATATAGATCATTCAAACACAATAAAATAGATTACAAGCGTCATTGGTATTTGGCTATGCAATGTGTGTGCCTAAGATATGGGGAATATGCTTTGATAAATCACAACATTCCAAATAAAATACTGATTTTTCCCTTAGGCTAAGTGTCTTGGGCAAAGTTAGATACTACGCTAGCTTCTATATACTCTTCACACCAAGGTACTTTTATTCTTTCCAATAACAAATATTTACTATCTTGATCTTACCACTGTGCTAAAGCACTATTCCTTAGAGAATATGCCCTAACCTAGATATGGCTTTGCTCAAAGGAGAGCATTCTGGATCAGAAAAAGGAAAAAAGAAAGAAAAGAAAGAAAGAAAAAAGAAAGAAAGAAAAGAAAAGAGACAGAGAGAGAGAGAGAGAGAGAGAAAGAGAAAGAAGAAAGAAAGAAAGAAAGAAAGAAAGAAAGAAAGGAAGCAAAATCACCACTTTCTTATAATTATGCTAGAACATAAATAAAAGATACCAGCAATTCCCTCAAACTACTTTTTTTTTTAAGATTTATTTATTCATGAGAGACATAGAGAGAGAGGCAGAGACACAGGCAGAGGGAGAAGCAAGCTCCATACAGACACCTGATGTGGGACTTGATCTAGGAAACTCCAGGATCACGTCCTGAGCTGAAGGCAGCAGCTCAACCACTAAGCCACCCAGGCGGCCCCCCTCAAACTAGTTCTTGAGGTTTTCAGGAATGAATGCCAACTACCGTATGAATCAAAAAAATATTTTAAAGAAATAAAAAAGCAAAAACCAAGAAGAGAGACAATACTCTGTGACCACTGGATTTAGCAGTAGGCCTATTCATTAGTAACATAAAGAACTGAGTATACTAGAGATTACTACTACATGAGGGCTATGTAAAAGATTACTAACAGAATCTAACAAAGTTTAGATGGACCTTTATTTTCAATATGCTAATATAATTGAATTAAAAATTCCTCCATGGAACCCATGATCAATTTCAGAGAGAAGAAGTACCTGCACACCATGCCTATTCATTCATACAAATATTTACTAAGTGCCTAATGAGTGCCAAGATCTATTCTGAAGACTAGGAATGGAGGCATGAACAAGACAGAGCACAACCTTGATCTCCTGGAGTTTGCCCTCTTGTGAAAGGAGGAGGGCAATAAAACATATATATATATAATCTACTACGTAGTGACAAGTGCAATGGGACAAAATAAAGCAAGGCATGAGTAACATAAGAAGTGTTATTTTATAGCTGGCACTAGAAAAAGCCTCAGAAAGAACGCGATGGTTAAGCAAAAGCCTAAAGGAAATGGAAATGACAGAGCAAGTCAAGAAGAGGGCTACAGGAAGAGCATTCCCAGATAAAGAAAGTGGCAAGTGTCAATGCCCTGGGGTTGATATGTTCAAGGAACAAGAAAGCAGAAATGTAATGAGTGAGAGAGAAGACAGATAGAGACAAGGACAGAGACCAGAGCCAGATCACACAGGGGTTCCTGGACATAAGTACTTTACTTTCAGGGAGATGGAGAGACAACACAGCATCTGAAGTGAACTGAAATGATCTGACCTCTTTGATGAATGATCTCTGACAGCTGTAGAGAAAATAGGACTGTAAGTTGAGCAAAGAAGGTTATTACAATAACCCAGATAGAGGTGGTGGCTCGCATTAGAATAGTAATGACAGAAGTGTTGAGAATCAACCAGAATCCAGACATATTTCCACCGTCAAAAATGATCAGATGTGCTGATGGATGGATGTGAGCTTTGAGGGGAAAAAGATTCAAGAATGACTCCACAGTTTGTGACCCACTATGATAGTCGACCAATGTATACAATGGAGCACTTTTAATTCCCCTGGCTCTCCCTCCAGCTTGTAAATGTTCCATGACTTGTTTCTAAAAACACTGAATATTTTTGGGGCACCTGGGTGGCTAAGTTGGTTAAGCGTCCAAATCTTCATATCAGCTGAGGTCATGCGATCCGGCCCTGTGTCGAGCTCCATGCTCATTGCAGAGTCTGTTTTAAGATTGTCTCTTTCCCCCTCTGCCTCTGCCCCTCCCCACTGTGCTCTCTCTCTCTCTCTCCCTCAAAAACAAAACAAAACAAAAAACAAACAACAACAAAAACAACACTGAATATTTCAAGACAGGTAAGTCTGCTTGCCCAAAATAACTAAAGGGAAATTTATGTTTCCTACCCAAGTGTTCCTTAGAATAACAAAGCTTTGCAGTACCAAAGCTGCCACTGGAGGGCTGTAACACGCTGTCTGGAAACAAGAGTTGAGAGGAAAAACACCCGCCTGCTTTGCAGGGATCCAGAATCAGCTGAGGTGGACAGGAATGTGAGCCTGCAGTTAAAAGCCAGCACTGAAAAAGGCCCAGGAACCCACATGACCACTCAGAATTCTTAAGCCCTTTTCTCACTATAAGAACTGCCGACTCAAAACATCACCTGCTTTTTTAAAGTAATGCATCTACATGTGTGACCGCAGGTCCAGGGGAATACAGACCAGAGAGATCATTAGCTGTTATGACCCTCTGACCAACTCCAATGGCTCTCCTTGGGGACAGAGGAATCCAACTAAATCTTTTATTTAAGGATGAGTATTTTTAAAATATTATTTCAACATAATTCACTTTCAACTAAGAGCATAACAATACTTCATAGGAAACCTGGGAGGGCTGAAGCCTTTGAAAATTTGTGGGGGAAAAAAAAACGCCAAATTGAAATCCTGTCTTAGCAATGCCAGTGGGCAATGCAGCAGTTTGGAGACAGTGACACTGGCTTCAGAGGAGACAAATGACAGGATGTTCAGAACCTTATCACCAAAACTGGAGAATGCATTTCTGCTAGGATGTCAAACCATTTCCCCTTTGTGTTTTATTTTATTTTTTTTTTTAGATTTTATTTATTTATTCATGAGAGTCACAGAGAGAGAGAGAGAGAGAGGGGCAGAGACACAGAGGAGAAGCAGGCTCCATCCAGGAAGCCCGATGTGGGACTTGATCCCGGGACTCCAGGATCACACCCTGGGCCGAAGGCAGGCGCCAAACCGCTGAGCCACCCAGGGATCCACCCCCCCCCTTTTGTTTTAAACTTTTGTCTTAAGATTGAAGTAAAGTTTCATTTTGCCTAAAAGTTAAGTCAGACATTTCATAACCCACTATGGTTGTTTTCTCAGTTCCCCCAAAGAAAAAAATAATCATCTGTATATATGGAAGGAGAAAAAGAAAAACAATAAAACACACCTAGTATCTTGTGGAAGGTTCCATACTAAATACAGACACACATGTACCATTTACACACACATACACCTCTACATATATCTATGTTTAAAAATGCTGGTTACTACATGAAAATGACTTTCAATGAAACTAACTTGGTAATTCCATGTGGATAGTCTCTATTTTTGCTGAAGCGGTATTTTTATGCTTTTAAAGCTTAAAGACCTAAGACTTATTTAACAAATAGTAACTTATACCAAAGTTTTAATGAAATTCTTATACTGTTCATATAATTATGTGATATATGAACTATGAACTATAATGAACTATGTACCACACCATGTAACTTTTAAACATGTGGGTTGATATATTCAACCTAAATGTGTCTGTTTAACTTTTAACTACAGTAAGCAAATATGGCTAAACAGATTTTTCACACAGGTTAGAAACTTTATTTAGTATGTCCATCTTAAAATGCCTGCTATTTGGCATGTGTGAAATTCATTTTGAGAAGCCAAGGCGAAAGTGATAAGCACCTCAAACAAATGGGCAGTCACCTTCTGGGCAGAGAAAACCAAAGCATAAGGAAAGATCGTCATGATATCCAGTCAAGAGGAGAATACTTTAGGCTTTCCTGGTCACAGAACCTGCAACAGCTCAATGATGCCACTGAGGCAGAAAAGCAGCCACAGACAGTATGTAAATAAATGACAGTGACTGATCTAACATGACTTTAGTTACAAAAAACAAGCAGTGGCCAGATTTAGGCTTTTGGCCGTGGTTTGTCAACCCCTACTCTAGGCTATAGCTCTCAACAATTTTTTAAATAACAAGTCGAGTAATAAACACTTTTTCCATTACATATGCATGATAAACACAAGTAGTCTCACAATATAATACACTTACTAAAAGCAATGCACTTTGATATTTATTATTCTATTTCATGTTTGGCTTTTTTTGTTGTTTTGGGGGGATTTTTCTTTTTAGTACCATCAGAAACCACTAAGTTGACCTCACAAATAGATACTGATTCACAGTTTGAAAAAAGGTACCCCAGTGTGAACAGCAGCTGGAACTTATGCATTTATTGATTATGCCAAGGAATAATGAAGGCTTTCTAGAAATATATAGGATTTATTCAATGTTTCTCATGCCATGCACTGCTGTATGTTCTAGGAATCTATTTAGTGAACACAAATAACTTGTCAATTTGTTTATGACATTCAAAATAATATAAAATGTAAATCATTTAAAAGTAATATTTCAAGATTTCTTGACATTTGTAGTGTCATTGGTTTATCAATCTTCTGATTGGTTAGAAATTAATGTCTATTGTTACAGGGATAAAGAAATACTCTTACCTTCTTTTTCTACCCTAAAAACAAAAGTTCTTTGTGTTGTAACAACTTCAAATTTGTTGTCTCCTTGAACTCGTACCGTAGATATAGCAGAAAGGGGAATTATTCCTTTTGAATACTTCTCCTGTGTTGGTTTGAGAAAAAGATACACAAATGAGACAGATTAAAATGAAATTCTTAAAAAAAATGAAATTCTTATGCCCTTATCAGAAAAATGGTACAATATTTACAAATCTTTACAAGTATATTGTGCTTCTCTTTCATAATTTTAATCTAAAATTTTTAAATGACATACAAATAGTATATATTCTTAGACACACTTAACACCCAAGAAAGGAAAATATTAAATGGCTCTTTCATATCAGATTTATTTTCAATTTTCTCTTCTTCTGGGATTTAAAATTAAAAGGCAAAGAATCAAATACAAACAATTGTACTAGACCAGCAATATATAGTTCCAAAAACCAAAGGTATGTTTTTTAACAATCTGGTCAAAATGATTTTATGGTGTTTGCAGACATCTGCTGGCCATAATGGGTAATGTAACTAAACTACTTCAATACTACTGCTACTGCATATTGTGAACAAGAATATATCTCAAAACCAGACTGTCGGATTATGTCAGTTAAACATATTACTTAAGGATTCTAATGAATATCTTATTATCACAACTGTCTCACTCTACCTTTAATTCCTCAACAAAAAAACAAATGAGAAAAGATGCACGTGGCTGTTTGCAATTGGTATATACCTAATACAATTTTGGCTGTTGGCAAATGGCATATGCGTTTTACCATTTTGCTCAAGAAGGTCACTCTGAAGACTACTGGTAGTTTTCTCAGTCTTCCATTTTTCTGGATCCACCAAAACCATGCGGCATAAGGACCGCCTGACAATTTCAGCTATTTACTAAGGGTGAAATATTTACCAGGCCTTGTATTAGAAAGAAAATTCAAATAATATTTATACATTCAAGGAGACTCAAAGTGAAAAACTAGCTAATGTAATGAGAGAAAAGTGTAAAACAGTGCAAACCATGGAAAATATGAGTACAAAGATGGGAATTCCTCATTCTGCTTAAAAGAGGTCAGATATTTTCATAGACATAATGACTTTAGAGCCTGACCCAAAGAAACTTAAAGTTTAACCACACAGATAACTGGTTGGGATGCCATCACGGCTGCAAAGCTTTAATAAGAGAGGCATAGGTAGAGATATAAGAGCAGCCACAGCGTAAAGTCAAAACAGGTGAAGCTAGAAATATACATCAAGGACACATTATGGAAGGTCTTAAATATCAGAGGAGTTTGGATACATCTTTACAAGGTTTCTTCTACTATTCCCTTCCACAGAATGATTCAGGGAACTATTTCTTGGGGGCGGGGGCAGAACTCTCATTTTTTAGCAGATCCCAAGTATATGAAGCAACTGGTTAGGAATAAACTGTACTAAACCATTCCATGTGGAGAACAAATGCCAAGGTCATATTCTTCCTCGTGGCAAACTCCTACCACACCTATCAGATAGGTTAGGGACAGTCACTATCAGCAGCATGGTGTTCTACTGGGAGGTTATCCTCTGCCCGTTGAGAAGATATACTATGCTATCATGGCATTCCCTCTTAGTTCTTTGGAGGTTTCTTCTCTTCTAATGCCTCTGGCTCCAATCTCCTATCCCTGACTCTATGTATGTATTAAAATCCTATGCATTCTTCAACATAATTTTTAATGCCAATGCCACAAAGGCTTTCCCACCTCCCCTCACACAGTCAAAACTGAATACAATATTTGAATTGGAACTGAAAAAGAGTGGGCAACCTTATAGAAAAAGAAGGATGCCAGGAAGTAATTTCAAGGTAACTGTTCTTCTTGATTTCCATTTTTTTTCCAAGGAAATCCATTCCTACTATTTTAACTACCAATTTTATGAGGAAAACTCTATAAAATCAGTCCCTTCCTTCCTTATACATTTTGGTCAACTCTAGCCTCATATTTCAAGTCATCAATGGTGCATGTAATTGTCCCATTAGTACCTCAAACTTTTTCTCCTGAAAACATACCCTCCCCCTTCTATATCTGTTCATTAAAATATTACTCTTCTAGTCAGTCCTAGTCTTTCATTTGTATGGCTCCTTTGACCCACATAACTTGGGACTCTCCCTACAGTGACAGCGTCAACTTCCTACCTGGCATTCTCTCTCTCCAGTCATATGAGCCTTCTTTGAGTTTCCATGAATATAGCATGTTTCTCCCCAATCTAGTGCCTTTGCTTATACTCTATTCTTCAAGGAATGTTATCCATAACCACCTCCACATAGCTACGGCCTCTACATCCTTCACATTTCAGCATAAGTATATGCTCCAGAAGAAAGGTTTTCTGACCAGCCTCTTCTCACAGGCCCCCATCCTCACCTAGGCAGATGACCTTATTTTAAGCTAATAACAACCTGTATTTTTCCTTTTAGCAATTACTAACTATACCTTAAGTGGTGATTCTTATATTTACTGTGTGATCATTTAAGATAATCTTCCCAAATAAATGATGGGTCATACATCTATTTTCCTCAGACCTTTTATATAATTGGCATTGCAGAAGTATTTTCTCAATGAATGAATTCTATGTCCAATCAGTCACAATCACAGCCAAATCAAGCTCTGACAGCTCATTTTTATATATTTCTAAATTCATTTTTTAATATCTCCACTAGCCTACACAGCCTACATCCAGATAATTAATGCCCGATTTACCACACACTCCCCTGATTTGCCTCCCAACTTTCAGCTTCTTTTCCTTCTAACCTTTCTTGTATACGATTGTTCAGATGTCATAGTTGGAAAAAATAAAAGATTCATAGAGGGGAATTTAAAAAAATGGATCTTGGAAGTCTGCACAGGATTTTGATTGGTGGTAATGGTTCAGAAGTTACAGATGGAAGAGCAAAAACAGGGAGATGAAATGCAGGAAAAAGACATGTTCCTATTCCCCCACAGTGTGTATCCAGACATCGTTAAGAAAGGCTATGCAAAGAAATACATGACTGACTGGCTAAAGGAAACCCAATAAATGCAGCAGGGTATAATATGCAATGCTAGGCAGTACTAGAGCACTAAGTGCTCCAAGAATGATAAAAGTGGGAAAATGTCTCCCTCGTATCAGGCAACCTCAGACATGGGAAGGAGCACAGTACCTTTGGGGACGGTGCAAGGGCTTGTCTGGCTGTAAGTCTACAGTGGCTCAGATCAGACTGAAAAATTTAGGATGTCCACAAACATTTACACTTCATCCCTTAGATGATCCATTCTCAAATTTTAGTTTGCTTGAGAATTACAATGGCTCATAAAATTAGATCTCTAGTGAGATAATTAACCATTTGTTGAATGAAATGTTACCATTAATACATTTTTCAGGAGAGAAAAATCAAGCAGCATCGTAGGAAAAAAGAAATAGGAAATTTTTTAAGATTTTTCCCTCTTCTAGGTCTGCTTTAAGAGATTAAAAAACAATTCCTTACAAAAAAGTAACCCACTCACATGCCTATAATAATATCATATTTAACAAGTAAATACTCTAGAAGAATAATAGAGAAATAAATTCCCCAGGAGTGATCAAAATGTACTCAACAAACTATTATGTCACTTTCACCTCAGGAAGTTATAGTTTCTTTAATGGCTCATTTACAATCTATTATGAGATCTCAATAAATCCTGTAATTTTTAACACTGTAGAGTTGATTTTATATTTCTCTTCAAACAACACATTATAAAGACAATATAGAGGAGGGGAAAAAAAGACAACAAGGCTCAGAATGATTGTGTTTTTCAGAGTGTAAAATTTTTTAAGGACAGAAATTTCAAAGCACCCCTTGAGTCTGTAACACACAGATATCTAGGTCAAGTCTGCCATTTATCTACTACCACTTTCGACAATGAAATGACCACAGGGCAATTCTGCCCACAGCTGAGTGAGAATGGGGGTGAGAGAGATTTCCTGGTAGGTGACTAGATATCAAGGCTGGTGGGATGATGCCACTTTCATTAATATAATGAAAAAGTTCCTGCAGAGACCTGATGGAGCAGCACTGAGGAAAGTGAGAGAAAACTAAGGAAATACACAGCTCTGCCCAGCCAAGCGCACCTCCGATGCACCTTTAAACACCAAAAGGCCCAACAACCACCAACACTGCACAGTCACCTGAGACAGTCGCTGTGGCCACACCTATGCTTTCTGTACACTGGCCCTAAAATTCCTTCTTCCCAGTCCTCCAATACACCCTTGAGCAAGGTGAGTCACAAAAGAATCTGTGTCTCCTTTTAGAAAACATCCATCTCAATGTTTTCAAGTTTTGCCAAGATGAAACCAACCATCTCAATAGTAAAGGGATGGAAATGCCACAGAAAACAATTAGATTTTTTTTAATTGTTAAGCTAAAGACTTTATAACCATTTATTTTAATGAACTTATCACAATTTCAAATGAAGGCTGCATCATTTTTATTGCATCATTACCTAAAAATGTGGCAGGCATTCATCTCACTGCATTTCAGGTGATCTTTCAAAGGACAAACAGAATGAGTCCAGTTGGACACCGATACCAGAAATTCTCTCTCCCAAATGAGGATATTGATGCCACCACCAACAGAGCCTCATGGCACTGAAGCCTATCTCACTCCTGAATAGTTCAATCAAACCCATCCCTGGCATAGAAACTGTCTTAACATTCAAATACACAAGCAAACTAAAAACATTAGCTAAGACAGAAAAACAGCTTTTAAAAAATTACTCATCCTATCATCTTGCAAACCTCAAAGAAGTGTGTTTAAACTTATTTGATGCTTTTATCTGGATCACTGCAAGGTGAAACCAAGTAATTAATACTTCTCTAAACTTTCATTGTTCTTAGCATTGTAGCATGTAAATGTATGTTACTTTCTACCTAAAAGCATCCCTAAAAGGGGATCCCTGGGTGGCTCAGTGGTTTAGCATCTGCCTTCAGCCCAGGGCGAGATCCTGGAGTCCCGGGACGGAGTTCCACATCAGGCTCCCAGCATGGAGCCTGCTTCTCCCTCTGCCTGTGTCTCTGCCTCCTCTCTCCCTCTCTCTCTGGGTCTCTCATGAATAAATAAAATCTTTAAAATAAATAAATAAATAAATAAATACATACATACATACATACTTCTGGTTCTCTCATGAATAAATAAAATATTTAAATAAATTACATAGATAGAGTCACTTGCCTAAAGACAAAATTGTGACCACTTTTACATCAAGATGTTCAGTGAGCTCTAACCTCAGAGAACCTTATCAGCTTCATCTCAAGTCTTCTTCATATATCATATTTCCCAATCAGAAAACTGATTTCCCATCTGGCCATCTCATTGTTCTCTATGTTACTACATCCTGTTCTCTCTAGTCTCTATGGACAAACATTCCTCTCTTTTCAAGACCTGTGACAAATGAAATCTCATACAAGAAGCCCTCTTTGGTTTTTCTATACCCTCCCAGAGTACAAAGTAACCTCTCCTGTATTGCCTACCTCGTAGTATCCTTTTGTAAATATTCCTTAGTGCTCTCTAGGAGAGAGACAATTGCTTATTCATTCTTATATCATTCATAACAATTCCTCTAGTTTGCAGAAGACACTCTATAAATAATTGTTGGATATATAATTTTTTAAATCCAAATTTTATGTGTCAAAGAAAAGTTAAGCAATGAACAGAAGGTTTCACCCATGGAAATGTTTTACACATTGATAACCCAACACTTGTTCTTAAAAATCAAATTGTTTGCTTAGTTTACTGAAGTATACCTTGTATATATAAGACAATCTTTGAGAACTATAAAATGTACTTACTTTCTCATTATTGTAATAAGAAATGCTAAGGCCATCAAATTTCACCCATCTCTTCTGAAACATGCGTTTTCTGTAAAACATGAAAATGCTATTTTACATTCAAGTATCGTGAACTTGGATTTTAAATACATTTGTAATGTAACTGCGTCCAGCACACTCCTATTTGTTGTTAAACAGTATAAAAAACATTAGGCTGTAACAATGTACAGTTTTTGCAATGGCACGTAGGAAAAAAACAAAATGACATTTTCTAATGAATTAACATAGGAATTGAAAACAATGTTACTGTTGGTTCTGGCACAAAAATAGACAAAGGTCAATGGAACAGAAAAGAGAGCCCAGAAATAATCCCACACTTATATGGCCAATGCATCTACCACAAAGAAGGCAAGAATATACAATGGGAAGAAGAGTCTCTTCGTCTCTTCAATAAATAGGGCTGGGAAAACTGGACAGCTACATGCAAAAACAATGAAATTGGACCACTTTCTAACACCATCCACAAAAGTAAACTTAAAATGGATTAAACATCTAAATATGTGATCTGAAACCATAAAAATTCTAGAAGAGAATACAGGCAGTAATTTCTCTAACATCAGCTACAGCAACAGTTTTCTAGATATGTCTCCCAGGGCAAGGGAAACAACAGCAAAAATAAACTACTGGGAAGACATCAAAATAAAGAGATTTGCACAGCAAAGGAAATCAACGACAAAACAAAAAGGCAATCTACTGAATGGGAGAAGATATTTGCGAATTATTTATCTGATTAAGGGCTTAATATTGAAAATATATAAACAACTTACACAACTCAACACCAAAAAAAGCAATTCAATTAAAAAAATGGGTCGAGGACCTTAATAGACATTTTTCCAAACAAGACATACAGATGGCCAACAAACAAAAGATGCTCAACATCACTAATCACCAAGGAAGTGCAAATCAAAACTGAAAAGAGGTATGGCATTATGCCTGTCAAAATGGCTAGAATCAAAATGACAAGAAATTAACAAGTACTAAGGAAGATGTGGAGAAAAAGGAACCTTCATGCACCAATTCCTCACTGGTGGAAATATAAGTTGATACAGCCTCTGTACAAAACAGTCTTGAAGGTTTCTCAAAAAATTAAAAATACAAATACCATATGATCCAATAATTCCACCACAGAGTATCCAAAAAAAAAAAAACCCACAAAAATAGGATTTTGAAAAGATATATGCACCCCATGTTTACTGCAGCTTTACTTATAATAGCCAAGATATGGAAACAACCCAAAAGTCTATCCATAGATAAAAGGATAAAAATGTGTGTACATATACACAGATACACATAACAGAGTATCACACGGCCATAAAAAAGGATGAGATCCTGCCATTTGTGACAACATAGATGGACCTAGACAATATTATGCGAAGTACAATAAGGCTGAGAAACATAAATATATTATGATTTCACTCATATGTGGAATCTAAAAAAATGAATAAACAAAAAAGCAGAATCCAATCTATAAATACAGAGAATTGACGGTTGCCAGAGGGGAAAGGGTTAGGAAGATGGGTAAAATGGAGGGGGGGGGGGGAATGGGAGATACAAGTTTCCAGTTATGGAATGAACAGGTTATAGGAATAAAAGACACAGTACAGGGACTATAGCCAATGACACTGCAATAGTGCTGTATGGTGACACAGATAGCTACACTTGTCGTGAGCAGAGCATAATTTGCAGAGATGCTGAATCACTGTTTTACATCTAGAACTAACGTAACACTGTATGTCAACTATATTCAAGTAAAAACTTAAATAAATAAAAAAAATATTATTAAGGGTATTAATATGCACATTTATAGGTTAGTGCAAAATGAAGTTTGGTGAGAAACACTATCACTGCCCCCAGTTCCCCTAACAGAAATAATCCCTTAATCAAGATAATATAGGGGTGCCTGGCTAGCTCAGTTGGTAGAGCATGCGACTTTCTATCTCAGGGTCATGAGTTTGTGTCCCACATTGGGAAGAGAGTTTACATAAAAATAAATAATTTTTTTTAAAAACTTAAAAAAGATAATATAGGGGGATCCCTGGGTGGCTCAGTGGTTTAGTGCCTGCCTTTGGCCCAGGGCGGGATCCTGGAGTCCCGGGATCGAGTCCCACGTCAGGCTCCTGGCATGGAGCATGCTTCTCCCTCCTCCTGTGTCTCTGCCTCTCTCACTCTCTCTCTATCACAAATAAATAATCTTTTAAGAAAAAGACAATATAAACTTTCATCCTTCATCCTTCATTAAGCTTATAGTATGTATCTTATTTTACCTTAACTTTTGCTTTGGAGCATGAATAATATTTTCCCAAAATAACAAAGCTTTGTCAATTGGATTTATAGAGATAAATTACCTAATTTTGATCAAATGAGCTGAAAAAAGCCCCATATAGAGAATCCTTTACAATCATCCAAAATTCATTGAAATATTAACGTTTTTCAAAAAGAATCAGAAGAAAGGCAAATGCAATTTAGATGATTATCTTTTCTGAAAATAAGAAACAAAGCAGAATAATGTAATCATGCTTCCTATTTAGGTTTAATAGAAAAAACTTTTTCTGACTATATAAGGGAAAAGTAAAGAACCAATTCCCACTTGGTCTTGTTTTGTTTTGTTTCAGAGCCCTTCCCGGAAATCAGACAATCCTATTCTCTAAGTGGCTTTCTCTACTTGACGCAATATAGATACTTTCAGCTTTTAACAAAAATCATATATGAAAACTAACTTCCCGCTTGAATAAAGTCATTTCTAAGCATATATGTAAATAACAATCATGTCTACCTTTTCTATTTGTAGCTTGCTAACATGTTTAAGATAAGGGATTAGTTTAATATTCTGTGATTTTCATAGGATTTAAAGATAGAAAAAGAACATCTGGAAGTGTGAAGACCTCGTCTTCCCTGCTTTTTTCTGAGCACCAAACACGTATCACTCAAGTGAAATACAGCAGGCCTCCCACATTGATCTATTCAGCTTCACATAAAATCAGAGCAAACCGGGTCAAATGGATAAAAGTTTCCAAGTTCATCAGTACAGACATTTCCATATATAAGCATCTGGATTAATTAAAAAGTAACAATAAAGACCTTGAAATCATAAACATAACTACTCAGCTTTCTATCATCTTTCCGCTTCCTTTTAACTATTCTTGGTCCATGTTTTCTTAACACTGAAACGTGCAGTAGATAGACATCTAGTTTTTAAAACCCAAGGGTTTTTTTAAATCCCTTGCATTAAAAACATTAAAAGGTAAAGAAGTATTAAACACACAATAATTGCACACTGAACAAATTAATCACTCTGCACTCATTTAATGTTGATCCATGCCATACTTGAAGGCAGGTAAATATACATCTTCCCACACAATGTCAGCAATAATTCTGTGTATCAAGATTTTATTTTGGACTCTACCCACCTTACTTTGTGAATGGTGGTAAGCTGGAGCTCAATAGTATATATAATCTTCCATTTCAGAATAAAAACAGTCAACACATGTAGGGAGATCATTACCATTACTCTTCTATTCCCTTTGCTAATCACTCCTTCTCTTCCAGAGTTCCACTATACTACCTATACAAATATTCCTTTCCTGATGAGCCAACCCAAAGCAAAAGACAAAACTATTCTCTCTCAAAGCACACCTTTTCCTCCTAATACTTAATACAATCACTAATATTGTATGTATTTGTTTACTTGCTCAATGTCTGTCTCCCATATCATACCTTATGCTTTATAAGGACAAACTCCAAGAGTGCTTCATCCTTCACTACACAATCAGCAACTAACATAGAAACATATATGGCACTAAAAAAAAAAAAAAGAATTTGTTGAATGAATAATTAAGTGTAGTCCCTTTAGCAAGATGACAAATAAACCTCAGTGACCAGAACTCAAATAATCAGCATCTTAAAAAAAGAAAAGAGGGAAAAAAAAAAAAAAGGTTGGCAGAAGACAGGAAAACTTCTGAACACTCAAAATTAAATTCAAACTTTCAAAATCTGCCAAAGCACAGAGTGCAAAAAGTTTCAGAACCTGCTTTAATGTGTTTTACTTATTTATTCCAGGGACTCCTGAGTGGCTCAGTGGTTAAGCTTCTGCCTTTGGCCCAGGGTGTAATCCTGGGGTCCCGGGATTGAGTCCCACATCGGGCTCCCTGCATGGAACCTGCTTCTCCCTCTGCCTGTGTCTCTGTGTCTCTCATGAATAAATAAATAAAGTCTTAAAAAAAAAAAAAAAAAAGATTGTTTATAGCAGCCACTTGGACTCAACAAGCTTCCTCGGGACTCCACAGCCAACTATTTGGGGTCTGAGGCATCACTCAGGAGTATAACATCCGTACCCAAGGAAAACTAAGGGAAGAGATAAAGCAGACTGTTTAGGGATCAGTGGTACCACCATCGGACTACATTTCCTCTCGGGCACTGAAGACAAAGGACACACTCTATCCCTAGCTCTGAGCAAAGTCTCACCCAAAACCTCAGCCTCTTTCAAACTCATTTTCCAAGACATTCTCCCAACCATTTAATTTTTGCGACTACCAGGTAACTATTAGATGTGTTCAGCCGTTTTAACTCAATATTCTTAAAGATTATTAAATCCTTCTAATAATCTATGGAGGGATGGGTAAATAGGACAAATCCCAACCCACAGCAAAATGGAAGGAGAGGCCACAGGGTGTGTAGCACCTGAGGAAACAACCATTTTGCATTGTTGAGACTACTCTGCAATCCTCTGATTAACTCTCTCCTTCTGCTTTCCATCTTTTATCCAGCCAGCCATCAAATCTGTGGGGACCTACTCCATGAGCACCATCCTCCTGCCATATTGCTACCTATCTCTAGACTCTTTCTTGCTGCCTGGCTCTCTCAGATGCAATTTTCTCCTCTTGAAATGCTCCCTGCCTGCTCCAGACATGACCAGTTCCTTAGCCTTGAAACCTCAGCTTGAAAGCATTCCCTCCAGGTAGCCATCCTTGGTCAGATCCTAAGATCCCTTTGGTCTCCTGTTCCATTTCTTCACTTAATGACACCTAACAAATT